AACACAGCTACCTAAGTTCGAGAAGCAATCAACTTCAGCTAATTACTCACCATCTAGTTTCAGATCGGGACTCGGCGATACCGCAGCATCACTTTGCACTTTGAAGGTGGAAAGCGCATGCCAAATAGAGCACTAGAACATGCTGATCTGTCAAGTGCTTTTGTGCATCCTCAATACATTGGAACAAGCAGACGATGTCGCCAGCGTAATCCAAATAGCACAGCTTTACTCCAGCTGCCCATTCAATACCTACATTGTGGAGACCACTTAGTGCGTTCTCCAGCATTTCGTCTACGACGAAATTGAACAGGAACGGCGAGAAAGGGTATCCTTGACGAACGCCGCTACTGATGACGAATGGCCTAATTAGTCCATCATAGACGCTTACACGACCAGAAGTATGCGAGTACAGTGACCTCAGTTAGTTAACGTACTTCTGGGGCATTCCTTTTCGAAGAGGGGAGCCCATCAGAGATTCGCGATCAACTGAGTCGAAGGCTCCTTTCAGATCAAGGAACACTGCGATGGTTGGTCGGTGGTGTGTGACGCAGCTAAAGGACCTGGCGCAATGTAAAAATTTGATCAATACATCCACGGCCAGGCCGGATCCCGGCTTGCTGTTCACGGATGTTAGTCTATCTAAAAGGAGTCAGACGTCGAAGTATGACCGACGCTAGCACTTTGGTGACGATCGGGATTAAACTTATCCCGCGGTGGTTTTCGCAATCGTTGCGAGATCCTTTCTTGAAAATGGGAACGATCAGTGATTCGCCCCAGGATAAAGGAATGCGCTCTTGCGTCCAAATATTGCGCAGTAAGGTAGTAATACAGCTTATGAGGTTATCACCCCCATCTCGAATAGTGGGAGGCAGCTCATCTGGTCCTGCTGCGTTTCCTCGCTTCAGAGTCTGAATGCAAGACCGAACTTCTGCTTCTGTTGGAGGATCACACGACACTACCCAAGGAGCTTCAGTTGCGGATGAGGCAACCTGGTTAGTGGCAGGCCAACTGAACTGTTCGCTGAGGTATTTCGCCCAGCAATCAAGTCTTCGCTCCCTATTGTGAATAGCTTGTCCTTTCTTATCACAAACTGTTTCACTAACTGCAGTTCGCCGACCCCCCGTACGGACTATCAGTCGGAACAGTTGTTAGCTATTCCCTGATGCAGCTGCTACCTCCGTTTCACCAGCTATTGTTGGTCACCAGTTCTCACGGTCCCTCTTGAGGCTATTCATAAGCTGACGTTGCAGATGCCACATAGATTTCAGCTGGTAGAGAATTTTTGTCTTT